GTGTCTCCTGCATCGGCAGGTGGACCCCCAACCACTGCGCCACCAGGGAAGCCCCCCCAGGAATTCTTTGGGCTCTCCTACTTAACATCACTGGCCTCTTCTGGTCCCAGGCCAGTCTTTGGTTGCTCCATGTTGCCCTAAATAACCCTCTATGAGCAGCTGTCTGACTTATTAGAAGCAAGATGAAGGATAAGATTACAGGCACCATCCAGTGGGTACTCTGGGTACAGCCAGGAGGGGCTCTGGAGAGCATCAGATGCACATACTTTGGAGTCTCCAATTACAGCCTGTTGGGAAGAGGCTTTAGGGAGAACTAGGGGTGATGGGCCTCTATGACATGAGATAGAAGAAGAAACAATGTATGACTTGGTCACTATCTTTTTGCTGAAAAGTTTCTTTCTACCCTAACTGAACATTAAATAAGAAATAAAGGACATGAGGAGCAAATGTTTGTTAGATGTGAATTATACTTTCTGATGGATATGCAATTAAAAATTGTAAATCCTACAACAGCAATCCAGAGAAGGGAATAGGATCCTCCTCCTATGAACCTTTAAAAATAGGATAAACATGCATTTGGAATGGACTGCCTGTCTGGAGACAGAGGGATAGAGTAGATGACTGAGGTCCTCTCCAGCAGAATATGCCAATTTCATAAGGCCAAATGTAGCATGGTTTTAAGAGGACTGGACCACTTCTGGGCTGGAAAGGGAGTTAGGATTTGGTATCTAATCAGCCCAGTTTCTGAGTTCAGGATGTCTGATTCCTGGCCACTCTTCTACTTTAAGAGGTTACTAGCCTTGCTACGTTCAGGGAATGACAGAGCTGAGGCCCCTCTTGATCTTACAGAGCCCAAACTCACTTTCCCATGTGTCCCACAGCCTCTAGGGAAAAACCTTTCTGTGCCCTTTCCCTGTGAGAACTAGGGCCCCTCAAACCCATCTCCAGGAAGGTCACTTCTGCATTTGAGCTGCTCTCTCAGTTGGGACCTCTCAGCTCTACTTTGAGTTTTCTGTTTTGCTTCCTTCCTCCCTAGAATTCCATCCTCTACCGCTCTCAGTCCCTACTGACATGCACCTGTGATGTTATGGGGATTCACAGTGGGGTGTTTCCCTGGGTACACTGTGCCTGTCACAGAATCCCATAGGCGTCAGTCCAGTTGGGCCCTCCAGAAATGAGCTTATCAATAGCCCCTGCCTCCACAGAAGACGATCCTTCCCTTAAAGTGGGTGATGGGCATCTCTAGAATAAGAGGGTCTCTCTGCTCAGGATCAGAAGCTGAGAGGGCTCTGCTGCTCTTGGACCCACGTTAAATCTTAGACCTTTTTTTTTTTTTAGCCTCTTTCCCTTTCCAGGAAGCTCTACTTTTTCATAAATGCAGAACTCTGTGTGCTCCATCTGGATCTTTTAGCAGGCTCTCACTTCCCCTAACCTGACAATCCAATTCCACAGGCCATCCTACCAAGGCTTTAGGATCAACACTCAGAGTTCCTGTTGAAGAACTCATTATTGGCATGGGATTCTTTCCAGGAGAGGAGAGAGAAGCAACAGAAGCCAGGGCAGCAGTCTCTACAGCCTCAAGGAGGGCTCTGCGTTCCTAATCTGGCTCCTATTCCTAAACTCAGGCCTCTGTGCCCTCCTTCCTGTTTCCTCATTAGAGCGTTCTCCTGTTCATAATACATATCACAGTTATAAACATTAGTTTAAAATATACTTAAAGTCTCGCTTAACTAATATACTAATAAGAAGGATCATAAGAGCAAAGATGGTGTGTGACTTTTCCACTGATGTAGCCTTAGTGCCTACCATCCTGTTTGGCACACAGCAGATGCTCAACAATTCACTTTTTATCTAATTAGTAATGCATTTATTGCATCATGTACTATTCTAAGCACTTAAATGAAGAGTTCAGTTTCTTGAAATCTATCTTTTTCATGAACTTTTCCCTGGTTAATCCAACCAACGCCTATCATTTCATTACGTAAGTGGATTCTACTTGGTTAAGACACGCTTGATTATTTTTATTTACGTGCCTTATGTAAGAATTCTAGTAATGTATGATATCTTTCCTCATTAAAGTTCCCGAAGGAAATCAACTTCTCCACAACACACAGGACAGGGCACTATACAAAGTGGGTGCTTGACACAAAGTCTAGGAAAGCCTAGGGAGAGTGGAGCAGAGGGAAGGGGAGGCTAGCTGAGATCCCCTTCTTTCTCTCTTTTCCTCATCACAGTCTCCATGTCCTAGTATCCCTTTCAAAGAAATTCTGCCTCTCTTCAACACATCACAAATTACGATATACAAGAACGTACATCAAAGAGGGAAAACAGTAAAAATAAATAAATAAATAAATGATAAATTGAGAAAAAAACACCACATCCCCTATCTGCCACTTCATCTTTCCATATACCTGATATTTCTGACTCCTAGGTTTCTTGGACTCAACCCAGAGACGGTTCTCTCTGGCTTTGCTTTCTGCCCCACCCCCTTGGATATGTACTGATTAACTGCTGCTGTTCATCTGTTCAAGGGTTAAAGGAATGGAAGGGGAAGAAAGGCCAGAGAATGACAGAATGACGCAGAAGTGTGCCTAGTAGAAGGAACTGTGCTGTAAGAGTGAGGCACCTAACCCTGGACAGTGCAGGATCTCTGCAGACATCAGAACTGGTACCTGAAGATTCACTAGGGCCCACCAAATACCAATGCCAAATCTCCTCCTTTCCCCATCATTTCCAACGTACTTGAAGTGAATCCACCTACCGCCCCCTCAACAATTTTATCTCTTTAGTCTATTTCTTTCCAATGTTGCTTGAGAAAACACCAGTTTTCTAGGTACCAAAGGATCAAATGGTCCCAAATCTTCAGAGAAACTTGGAAAGATGATTTATGGAGACTTAAGTAAATAAAAGTGGAGCAAATGAAATCCAAAAGCACTTGTGGACTTAGACCTGACAGAGTTTTAGGGAAGCCCAAGGTTCCAGTGTGAATCTACAGCAGGAGGATCTTCAGGAGGATAGTTCTGTTCTACAGGCTAGGGAAGTGAGGAAACTCAAGGCAGCCTCCAAGCCACGGCTTTCGTCTCCCCCCAAGCTGGGCCCTCCTCCTTACCTTGGGCATCGCCACCGGAGGTTAACACGGCGATGGCTTTGCCAGCCCCCAGGGTTTTGGCTGCATGGTGCTCTTCATGGGTCATGATCCACTCTAGAATTCAAGAGAATGGCCAGTTAAGACACAGCGGGATCAAGGTGCTATGAGCTCAGGGGATGATGGCTCTGTTAGACTGGCTACAGCCACCTCAGTCAGGCTCTCCTGCTGCACTGAGTCTGAGCTTTGCAGCCTGGGATCTTTGGACTTCCTCCAGAAGAGAGCCACACCCCACAGAGTGACAAGCTGAAATGTCACAGAAATCAAGCCCAAGACTGCAAAAGTACTCGCTAATCCCTCCCACCCCAACTGGAGCCTATTTGGAGAATGAGCTAAGGCCAAGGAGAAGGGTGGGTAACTGAACAGAAATGAGAAAGGAAAAAGTTAAGTTAGCCTCAAAGATTCCTCCCTTTTAATGAAGGGAAGGGCTGTTGCAGCGGATAGGAATCAGATGAGGCTTGGGGCACTGAAAACTAGCAAAGTGGAAGCAGAAAAGCAAGGGCAGGGTGGGTTATGGTGAAGATTAGGGTCGGGTGTGATGGAATTGGGCTAAGCTAGAACAGGAGTTTGAGGTTATAGAGTCACATTGGAGCTCGGGCAAAATAATGGTTCAGGCTCAGGAGTGGTTAGGGACTTGCTCTGGCTTTTCCCATCCCTCTCAGGGTCTCTGCCTCCTAAGCATCTCTTGATCCTTTATCTTCAGGCCTTGTTCCTCACACTAAATACTATCAAATGGGAAGAGTAACACAAAATCACTGCCACATATACACAGATATGTACACGTGACATGTGAACACCTTCATATTTTTGTCTTTAGGGCTTCTCTCTCTCAAAGGAAAACAAAAGACCTACTTTTGTATCCATAAAAATGCCAATGGAATCATCACTCTCCCAGTTATCTGGGCTAAAATCTGTTATTTTTTAAATTTATCTCCTCTTTACTCTCAGAATCAAAACGGTTACCAAACCCTATTATTCTTCCTTCTTATTATCTTCCCTTATCCTTCTCTTCCTTTCTGTCCTCACTGCCTCTTTCCACCTGAATTGCTTATTACAATAGCTGGTCTCCCTCTGCTTGTGCTTCCCTTCTCCACTCTATTTGAGACACAAAATAAACCTCCATGGGAAGGTCATAGGCCCCTGAGGCCTCGGTGGAGGGAGGATTCATTCACACCAACAGGAGCTGATGACCTTTAAATACAGCTCATGTTTCTGCTGTGAACCCAGGGCAATCAGGGTAGCTGCTGATAAAGACATAGGTCACATCCACATACAGATCCACACACATGCCAATAAAATACATGCAATGAGACACTCATGAAGAAAAACATACAGAAACACACATAGTGCTGTTAACAAACACAGATTCACAGACATGCTACATATAATCAGTGCTGACAGATAAGCCCAAACTTTTTGGGTCGGCATTCAAACTTCCATGATCTAACTCTTGCCTAGAGTTTCAACCTTTGCTCCCATGAATTCTCTGCTCCGTTATCACCTGAACATTTCTTTGTTCCTCCCCACTTTTGTGCCTGTGCACACTGCATCACTTGTCCGGAAGGCCACCCTGGTTCTTTCCACAGATCAATATCCTACTCCATTATTTAAGGCCCGTCCTAGTCACATCCCTGTTAAACCTATTAAGCCCTCACTGATTACCACAGGTCAAGGAGGGCTTCTTTCTGGACCTCCTCTAATCACATATTGTCTGAAACCAGATCATTCACTTAGCACTTAATTACTACTTTATGTGATAGTTTAATTGCTTCTTACTTACTGGAAAGGTTGGACTAGATAAGGAGTCAGCAAACTGCAGCCCATGGGCCAAATCAAGCCCTTCTAATGTTTTTGTATGGCAGCAAACTAAGAAAAGTCTTTACATTTTAAGTGGTGGAAAAAACAATTCCATGACATGTGAAAATTATATGAAATCCAGATTTCAGTGCTCATACCACTCACATTCTTTTGCATATTATCTATGGCTGCTTTTGTGCAGAAGAGATTATTGTGACAGAGACCTGATAGCCTGCAAAGCCTAAAACATTTACTATCTGGCCTTTAACAGAAAAAGTTTGCAGACACCTGGACTAATGATTGCTAAAGTCATTTCCCCAACTAGACTGAAAACTCCTTGGGGGGGGGGGCGGGTGGATCATGTTCATTTTTTAAACTCTCCCACGGCCTACCAAAGCCTAAAGAAGTCTATGCACATAAGAACAGGAGTTCAATAAACTCTTATCGAAAGCACTAGTGAACTGACAAACAACAGGAAATGCACACAAATATAGAAAAATTTTAAAATATGCTTGGATACAGATGTACTTCTATATTCCCTTACTTTTAACACATACAGATACAAATAGGACCTAAGAAAGAAGATAGTGACAAACAGTGAGAGGAATACAAACACACATAGATAGAAACACTCTCCTATTTAACCAGAGTGTTCCTGTGCAAATTTCTGCAGTTCTCAAAAAAAAGAAAGACTAAGTGGTTGCAAATAGGAAGGCAAAATTTTGGAAAGAAGAGAACAAAACATGTGAGTACTATGCTGATCCCTTTTTCCCTGAGTTTTTTTCTTCTCAGCCACTCTGGGAGCTCATCACTGGCAGAAACCCATACAAGGATCTTCCACCCACAGAGGCTTCAGTGAGGGAGAGAATTCATCATAAACGGGGAAGGTTAGGAGTGCGGACCGGCAAAATACAGCTCAAATTCTTCTTCTGCACCTCTATGTTATAGAAGCACCAGTCACAGATATGCAAGCAGATTCATAAATAAACAGATCAACAGTGACACACGTAGAAACAGATATGTTAAAACCTATATATAAAATCACAGGTGCGGAGATAAGCACGCGGGAGGGAGAAATACTGGAGTGGCAGGATTCTAGGTGCACTGATTTGAACTGGACGAGTGCCAGGGTAGGAGTCGGGCGGCCGAGGGCCACTAGGTCCGAATACCACCCACCCATCCGTGATTTCCAGGCAAAGGGGCAGTGCGTGCAAGCCGAGCGAAGGGGCTAGGATTCTTCACCCATCCCCCGCCTCAGCTCCTTCTTCTGATGCTATGCCACCTCTTTTTTTCCCTTCTGCTCCTTTCTGTTCTCCCCACCGCCTCCTCCCAGCACGTTCATTCCCACCTCGCTCTCAGCTTTCCCCCTCGCTCTTTACCCAAGGGCCCCTCTTGCCTTACAGTCTTAGCTCTCCTCCGCCCGGTCTTCCTTGCAGATTGTCCTTGGGGAAGGGGGGAGGGGAGCTTGGCGAACACGGGGAGGAGCCAGGTGGAGGCAACAGGGGAGGGGAAAGAGGAGAGCCTTTCCAGCCTCCACTAAGCTGATGCTGGCCCGGAGGCTCCGCCTCCTCCTGGTCGCTTTTCTCCTCCCCTTCCCCCTCCCGCTAAGAACACAGCTCAAATGTGACACCGGCTTAGTCTCTTCACTCCGCAGAGGGTTCTGGAGTCCCCGCATCTATCTCGGGAGCCATCAGCTCCTGTGTACAGTGGGAATCAGAATTTATTTAGTTGCTTCCCTTGTCATCAGAGACACTTTTTTTCCGAGCGGGGGCTGCCTGAGACTCCTTGCATTCAAACATCCTCCGCAGCCAATAATAAGCCTCCCTCTCTGGCCCTATCCATTGTCTCCCACCTCTATCACTCTTTGAACAAACATTTATTGCAAGTCTGTGCGCCAGGTTTTGTATTAGGTTCTGAGAGATGAAAAGACAAGTGAAACAGAATCCCTGCCCTTGAGGAACATTGATCACTGGTATTTTCTATGGAGGGACCTCAAAAACTCCTTTTACATTTACGTACCTTTCTCAGAGAAAATACGGAGAAGCTACCTAGGAATGAGAGTACTAAGAGGCAAGACCCCTGCCTTGATAGCCTCATTCTGAAGACTGCACTAGAAGCGGGTGCAGGATTCTGATAGTGAACCAAGCATATCTGTTGGGCTACAAAGCAAACAGAATCCATTCTGGGAACATAGGTCCAATACTACCACAGCAAGAGGTGCAACCTTTACTCAGATCCTCTTTACTCTTTCCACTGCTCCACCCATGCCTTGTTTCAATGCCTCTCCACAGTCATCTCTCATCTCCTTGCTGTTTCTACTGCCCTTCCTCTTGCTTTCTTTCGTCTCTGCACCTGCACATTCTACAAACAATAAGAATGCAAGTGACTAGGAGATAAAACCATGTGACTACACAAAATTAACTTTTGTACTGCAAATGATACCATCAAGAAAGTGAAAAGACGGGGCTTCCCTGGTGGCGCAGTGGTTAAGAATCTGCCTGCCAATGCAGGGGACACGGGTTTGAGCCCTGGTCTGGGAAGATCCCACATGCTGCGGAGCAACTAAGCCCATGCGCCACAACTACTGAAGCCCACGCGCGTAGAGCCTGTGCTCCACAACAAGAGAAGCTACCGCAATGAGAAGGCCGCACACTGCAACGAAGAGTAGCCCCCGCTCGCTGCAACTAGAGAAAGCCCACGCGCAGCAAAGAAAACCCAACACAGCCAAAAATAAAAACAAACAAATAAATAAATTTATTTTAAAAAAAAGAAAGTGAAAAGACAACCCATGGAATGGGAGAAAATATTTGCAAATCATATATCTGATAAAGGACCAGGTATCGAGAATATGTAACTCTGGCAACCCAACAATAAAAAGATAACCGAATTTAAAAATGGACAAAAGATCTGAACAGATACCTCACCAAAGAAGACAGAAGATGGCAAATAAGCATATAAAATGATGCTCAACATCATATATCATTAGGAACCACAAATTAAAACAGAGACACCACTACAATCTATTAGAATGAAAAAAAAAAACTGACAATACCAAATACTGACAAGAATGTGGAGCAACAAAGAACTCTCATTCTTTGTTGGTGCAAATGCAAAATGGTACAGTCACTTTAAAGGATAGTTTTGCAGTTTCTTACAAAGCTAAATATAGTATTTCCATATGATCCAGCAATCACACTCCTAAATATTTACACAAATGAGTTGAAAACTATATCCATACAAAAACCTGCACATGAGTGTTT